ACCCCCCGAGTAAAGTACCCCTCTAAAAAGTGGGAAATGTAAAATACCCGGGGTACTTTAGTCAGTGGTCTACGGTATTTCCGGACGTGAACCGAATTTTCGGGATTACATATACGTTATCAAGTATGATGCGACCTTCCTTATCGTTGATAATTTTGATACTAACGCGTATTAATATTTGAATGAATTAGATGTGGTTTCAAATCAATAATTAAGATTGCTTGGTGATATTATTCGAAGCATGAATAATTATTTAATTTAAAGAATACATCTTCAACTAATGAGGGGGTTGTCTTATTATTATGGAAGTCATATCCAAGTACGTAGAAAGTATGATAATTTTCTTGTAATGTTTATATCCACATACTGTATATTTTGCAGAAGTTAGAATTAGTCGTCTTTGGCCATTTTTATTTGAAATATATCAATTAGATGGATGACCAGTGATGAATATTTGCTTAAAACACTTGGAACACGAAAAATACTCAAGTGCTAAAATGACCGTAATTGAAAAACAAAATAGCCATTTGTTATTCATTATTCTTACTATTATCTCTCGCTGGTGTCACTCTAAACCCTGCCCTCCTAATATAGGCCCATCTGTTTTGCATACTCTTTATATCACGATTAGGTAACTCTTTGGCTAGGTCGTTCCACGGTATGTTCTGAATCAATCCAAACATAAAGTCAACCAATATTTTATCTTCCTCCAAGTTCCATTTCTGAGCTGGTTTACGTGACTTCGGATATTTTTTTGATTTACTTGCAGACGGTTCAGTCTCGGAGAGTAATTTCGTGGGTTCAGCTATGCGTGTGCGTTTTTTCGGTGGGTTTGCTTTATTCTTGATAGGCATATGAACGGGCTAGATAGGGAGTAGAGAGTGTGTCTGAGTGTAGATTAATCAACTAATGAACTTGTCATATATAATTCGTCCATACCTTACTCGTCCGAAATTCACAGTCTTCGTAAGCTTTTGCTACACGTCCACGCTTTGGTGGCCCAGATTCAAAAATCAACTCTTCATTTTTTTCTTCAGTAAGGCATTTTTCTACTTGTTTAGACGCCATCAAGTATATTTTTTTTGGTAAATAAGACAAAGTTTAAGTCTTTTGACAGCGGGAGACGATTATTCTTGCTTTTAAATACTGAATCTATCCTTATCGTTGCCATGTATTCGGACATTAGTCTGATCATTCCGTTCTCATTGATCGAAGTATATAAGTTTGTATCATTCTTACGCAACAAAACAGACTGATATGATACTCTGGTGATATAATAAAATCTATTTTTGTATGCCACAACAATATGCGAAGTCCCAAGCATGTAATTGTATCAATTTCGGAATGTTATGAGATATACTGCAAAACCAGACAAAGTGAACATAATGGTCAATATTAATACATGACAAACAAACTGAAATTTGGACCGGACTAACAGTAATGTAATGCAAAGCGGGAAGTAGTCGTATATGCAGATAGTGAATACTTATATATATACGTTTCGATGTTCAATCTCGCGTACTCACAATGAAAAGTCTTAAAATTACAATACTTTTTAATCAAGTCTTAATTTTAAAAACTATAGGTAGCGAAACAATGAACATATATATATAAGCTGTGATTTTGCTAGTTAACAGCATCGATCAATCAATGATATTGTGATATAACCCACAATTCTTCAGTTCGATTAATTGTATTATTTTAATTTAAAGTGGTTATTTTATTTTTTGGATATAATCAGTATTCTATAGCCTTATTAGTGCGTGCAAATAGCAGATTTCGCTACCAGGTGGGAGTCTATCGAACTCCGAGTTGGGTAAAATACGGCGGCTGATTGATTTATAAACGCGTTTACTTTGATATAAACGTCTCCCGACTATACCTAAAGACTATCGAATTTATACCATCAATAGAAGTTAGAGACATTCGCTGCAGTCTAATTAGTAATCGAGGGTCTGCATATTAATATACAAAAGTATAGAAACCAATTAAAGATTGCTCCAACCGTCAATTATAGACTTAGCAAAGTAGCGGTATTTGCAAGCTCGTTTGAAGAAGTTAAATTTTAGGATTACCTCTTCCGTGATAAAGAACTAAATAATGATAAAACTAAAACAAAAAATATTGCGCTTGATTGTTTCAAAAAAGCATAATTTATTTAACGCAACTTCATCTATTAATAACATTGATGTGCCAAGCCAAACAGTAGCCAGTCTATCAGTGTCAAGTTTCAACAAATGAACATCAGAGAAGGCTAGAAAGACTAGCTGATTGACAAGAGACAAAATAGTTCCGCAACATCAGGCGATAAGTTGTCAAGTACACCAGTCATTAATAATAATTGCATTGTTGAAATTACTACTATCACCTGAATTTCGCACTCAAGGGATGACCCGACGTGGTATTGGTTCCAAGCCTTATCAGCACGTGAGCATCCCTGGCAATATATCTTACAAAAAGGAAATCAGCTTAGGTGACGCGGGAGCCTATTTCCTTACAGTACTTGTTATTACCTAATTTAAACTTTGCTTAATGTGGAGTTTTATGTTAAAGTCAACTGCAATTTCAACGACAACTCAATGCAGTCAATATCGTCACTCATTCACAAATATAGCATCTTATATTCGGCGAATAGTGAAACCCATATTTAAAATATTGTTTAGGGCATGGCAAGTTAATTGCATAATCGTTCGGATTAAGATTAGCAATAAACGTAAGGAGACATTCGAAAACAAAGAGCTGTTATATAACTAGCGCATAACGCAAGCCCAACGTAAAAAACTGAGCGCGGAATCTTTTACTTGTTAGGACCTTTAAAGCATGCTCGATACATATTTGGTAGAGTTTACAGTCTAGCAACAATTTGCTATAAGGATTATAGAACTGTAGTTATTTCACGAGTGTGGGAATTTGTTGCGAATAACAAAGGAAAGACGTATTTGATTGTATAGAATGCCATATTGTTAATGATTGTATAGAATGCCATATTGTTAGTGATTGTAATACTAAAGTCGTATAACCTAATCGAAAGTAATCGTATTATGAAATGTAACCATAAATATTTCGCAAGACTTGCACATGATTTGCATCTTAATGTCGATTCGATTATTTAAACTATGTAAAAGCATATATTAATATTAATATGTATTATACGCCTTTTCGATGTGTGCTACGGATAATGATTGCGGCAGACCTTTCCTTTGGGGAACAACGTTGCAATTAATGCCGGAAATGGTTTAATACGTTTACTGCTTTTAGTGAATGTGGAACATATTATAAGCAGTAAAATACGCCAAGCAAAATTGCGATAGATTACATGCTAACGACGTTCACTGGGAGGAGAATGAGTGCTGTTGAAAACTAAAGCCAACTCTGATAAACCCAACGCTACTTACACCACCATATCCTCGATCAAGGGAGTGATGGAGGACTATGGCATTCATGGCATTCATTGTCAGTGTCTTAAATGTTAGTCAGGAGATTGTGCATGATGCACTGATACAATCCTGTTTTGTGCCTGCATGGTGTACAATCGTTTAATGAATAATAATTATGCTTATATGAATTTTAAGGCGTATATAGACTTACGTCAAAAGAACAACATTACGAAGAGAGTAAAGTAAGAAAAAAAGAAAAGGAAGTTTTTAAAGCGAGATGCAGCCTTTATACTCCGAGTATGTCTAACACATCTTGTCGAAATGGATGAAGGTTGGTGGTGAAATCAGGGTGAGAAAAGAGGCGAAAACAAGTATCCCACGCCAATTAATCTATCTATATCTATTGACCCCACATTTGCATGCATTACCTATCCGGAGATGAAGGAATCTCCATCTGTTGCGGATATTCGCCTCTTTTTCCCAATAAAATCGCTTTTCTCCTTCCTCGCTTCCCCAAAAATTTACAAATAACTTTACAAACAACGAGACATGCTCCTGTATTCAACGAGCGAGACGTCTTTTCATCAAGCTTTCGGCTCATTTCTTCCGGAATCCTGGTCAACGTTACGCTACTATTCGCCACGTAACACAATGGCGTCATGACATCGATGTTTCCGCCGTTGATTATCAGTAAGGCCTGCGGCCAGATTATTATAAAATAGACTTGATGGAGTTAACTCGTTCTTTGTAGTTAACTCGCGGCTACGTTCTTGTACATAAACTAAAAGGTTGTGACGTTATTCTGCGCTTGTAACGAGAGACACGAATAAAGAAATATACAAAAATGGGAAGCTTTAATCCATGGGCTATCAAGATAACGAATGTGCTCGTCTATTTCTTCTTGCTAACCGCTAATGTATATTCAGTATATGGACCCGAATCGGTGAGTTTGGCGCAGAGCTGTCAGATATCGATTATTCTGCACTGCATCGTTGAATTAATGTCAATAATCGCATATTTATTGGTAATCTTTATAGGGCTCCCCATACGTGGATGCTAAGAAGACGTATATCACTCCAGCGCCATTTGTCTTCTTCGTTTGGGGTATCATTCATTTCTTATTTGCTGGTTTCGGTAAGTCATGTTTGTTGTTTACTGCGTTAACCCATCCCCAATGTATATCCTCCTTCCAACAGTAAATTTTCAACATTTTATCTCTCTTCTCCCACATATCCCAATTAGTCATCTACCAATTCTTCGGTCAAGCTACTGAAACCGTAGTCGACGGCGTTGGCTGGCAATTTGTCTTCATCTCAATCTGGAATACCGTTTGGCTTGCTCTTACCCAGAAAGATCACACAATCCTTGCGTGGTTTGCCATTCTTTTTACCGCTTCGCACGTCTCATATGTCTACTACAAGATTCGCTACAAGTACCCCGCCATCAGTCTCTTGGATAATGCCTTTATTCATGCGCCATTCTCTCTTTATCATGCTTGGATCTTTGTAATTACTGTTATTTCTACTTTTGTTGCTTTCACCCCAGAAGTCAGCGATGATGGACCTAGTGTTTTAGTAACCGTTGTTGTGATTATTGGGTTGTTGGTTCTGAAGTCTACTGCAGTCAGTTACGTTGAATTTGGAAAGGGTGATGTGGCTGGTGCTTTGGTTATTGCCTGGGCATTGTACGGCATTTTTGTCGAACAGGACAGTCCTGCTATTCGTTGGACTGCGTTAGTGCTTTCCATTCTTACTTTACTGTATTCGGTAAAACCATTTGTCGCCAAACACGTGTTCGGTAGGGGAGGCGAAGAACGTGCACCATTGTTGGGTTAGAATCAAGATTTTTGAATCAAAGACATAATCTGTATTAAATATATTAAACCGTCAGCTCTGGCAAATCAAACTAGGCTTTAGCGAGCATGTTGTTGCGAATAAACGTTCCTCGTGATAGCTAATTAAGCAATGCATTTTGAATGAAGACAGTTATCGATATTTAGCAGAGGTTTGACGGGTTGGCAAATTAGCTGTATATATAACATGATATATGTTGTCAATAGACTGCCAGCCGACCGTGACACTAATAACCCTTCATAACTAACAATGCTACGTTTTAGTATTTATAAAAATCGTCATGACTGCCAGCTGTCGAGAAAATGCGAAACTGTAATTTATGATATGAAGTGAATGTTCTGTGACCAAATCAAAATTTGGCCCATTCTAAAACGGTCTAAAACGTCACCCCCAACCGATACCATTAATCAATACAATTGTACAGTAAGTCTCGTAACATTCTCAGAAGAAAAATAAATAAGATCGCGTAATTGTTATGCGAAACGTTGGCGAGTTGGTTTTTCGCGGATGAACGTTAACCAATAACTAATAGCCGCTAAACTTTACTACACCTTCAATTAACGCAATACTAAAAATTATGTCTCTGTTGAACATTCAACCGCATTCCTGATGAGTAAATTACTTCACTACCAACGAACCGTCAAACAGAGACTTTAATTTCATTAAATGAAGAATCTATTAATGATAGAAACTTACGCAAACATTTCTCGACCTTGGAGATAAACAATACTATACAGCAAGTAGACAAGGAGTCATTAAAAGTCGTTTGTCCAAAGAATGACTTGTATAATGTTATCGGTCGATTACATCAAGAATGGCAACATGATGGCTATCATAAAAATACAAAGCGGATGATTAAACTAGTGTCGACATCCATTTCTATGATTACTTTCGAAGATCGTTGCGTGTACCTCGTGTAGTCGTCAATGTTAACGCCCATCCGCTATCCGGCCGATAATTTATGACACGTCTACAAGTAATAAACAAAAGTCTTCCTGAATGAATTAATTGAAAACTTTGTAAGGTCATATTGATCTATAAAGATGCGTACGAGAGCAGATGGGGACTATAAGTGGATCGCGCATGCAAAAGATCACTTTACCCACTTTACCCGATTTTCATGAGCTTGCGGAGTTTTAAGGTGTTTATTTCGGCTTCACGCAATTCGGTGCACCGACAATTTTACAGTCCGTTAATGGGAAAGAATCCGTGGCGTCTGTAGTAAAGGAAGTAATTGCGCTTAGCCAATGACCAAAATAATTAATGGAGGCCACCCCCAATCGCAGGATTGAGGAAATGACGTATCAGAAGTGAAGCTGTCATCATGGCTCGAGGAGAATAGAAGAAACGATTGGAGTACAGGATTGCCTTTTGTGATCTGTAAGGCATGTAAAGCAATAGACATTATTATTATTTTAGATTATTAATTTAATACGCAGGTGTGTACTGCTACTAAACGAACACCTGATTATAGATGGTGGTTCAGATCAATCTGTTGAAGACAACAGAGAGAGAACCATACATCGACGAGAATATTAACTGCTGAGGTAGAGCAATCTACAGGAGATTATGGATAAAGAGATGTAAGTATCAAGCATTAGTCAAAGTAATGTATTGCATGTGATTACTAAATTTAGAATGAAAGAAAGAACGTTAGTACTGGAGAACATACTGTCTGTGTTGAAGTCAATGAATTTATGTTACGAGTTGCACAAATACTATGGATATGAGCCAAGACGGAATCATACTGTTTTACATGAGTTGGCAGACCAACAAGTTCAGTGTATATGGACTTGATGAAAAACCTTGTAACAAGAAATGACAATTAGTATTTGATGTCAGCAATATCCCTAGAAAAATCGCTTCCCTGTAAAATAATAGAAGTTTTGGACGGAGGCTTGTGTCTATTAGTAGGGAGTTAGAAACGCTACTACAACTTTGTTTCAAATAAACCTTCAGCATGTCCTAGGATGTCCAATGTTGAGAATTGAACTGTTTGCGACTGTGAACAGATAACGCGATTGTGAATATATAGTTTTAAGATGTCAGTTGTAGAATGTGAAAGAATCATCATTCGTATCAATGACATCAACTCTGACCTTTCATATGAAAACCAAGCTTTCAGAAGCACGGCGTTTCGCAATTTTGAGTTTCATATCTGCATTGCATGAAATAAAAGAGGAGAACCGGATAAGGCAAAATCATTGAGAATGCAGGATGGCTCTCTGATATGCGTATAAAGTCTTGGCGTTGTGTAAAGCCATACGCACAATCCCAGCACAGCATTAGGCTTACCAATTCAAGAGTTATAAACGCTTAGATGTTATTCTTAGAATGTAAAGAGAATCGCATGTGTTGTGTCGTACTAAAGTCTTGTGACGGTTCACTAAAACGCGCGAGTCAAAAATGGACCAACAATGTATTAAGACTTGGTCTTTCTGTGATAAATAAAGGCTCATCGCGTCTATTCTTAACTCATTGCTGAACATCACTTTCAACTATAGATGACAGCAGAACGTTCGTCAATAAAAAGACGGAAGAGTCGGTTTGAATAAAAACACGTGGCTAGACAATTAGACCATTTATGTTAAAATGACAAGTGTCAACTTATTAATACAAGTGTTAACTCTAATAAAATAATATATCATCTATTTACACTGATATGTCCTAAAGGTAATGTTGAAAAAATGTATATGTTGATTAGGATACGCGTACCATGATGCTATGGTAGACCAAATGTTCATTTTCTCGCGTTACATCGCAATAAAATCAATGTCCAAACTAAGAATTTTCATCCTCCTTTTCGACAGCCTCCATATTCTTGTCAACTCCGAAGTTGACTTTTACACTGCATGGCCCAGTAGCCCTTATTGTGGGAAACCTGGTATCTTGACTAGGAACTTTTGAATCGATGTTGAGGCGCCTCCCATTCTTTGTGAAGTATACGCACCCAGTATTGCAATCATATCCGCAACCGACCGTATCGTTGACTCCCCAATTAGTATTAGGGCCATGTGTGGAACCGTCAGAACAATATACAAAGTGTTCGTTCTCACCCTCGGATGATTGTTGAGGGTTGATGGTAAGACCTATTGTCATAACTGTGTTTTCTCGATTCGACAGTACGGTTACCTCAAAGTAAGAAGCGTTATTGGATTCATTATCAACAGAGATGCAAACGTGACTGTTTTCTCCAGTTCCTGACGGCGCCTGTATTGTACATTCAAATAAGAACCACGGTTGCTAAATAAAAAGCCAAACATATAACACTCACTGTTGTGTCTTCAGACATTTGTACAGCTACACTGTCTAAGTTGGGGGATTCGTTATTAGCGGTTGGCAATTGCGGGATAGGGAACGAAGACTTCAGCCGCACAATAGTGTCATTTTCATCATTAAATCGAAATACATTTCCTTCATCCACTGTCACCGATCGCTGTTCGGGAATAACTTGATAATCAAGGGCAGGCGTCTTGTTCTCTGGGGCCGCCGGTGCACCATCCGTCCAATAACACAGCAACTGTTTAACATCCGAATAAGTTGGTATTTTGCGGAGCACGCAAGCTAAACAGGGGCAGCATGCGATGAGAAGAATTACAACAAGCACAAAGAGAACAAGAGCGGAGACTAAGACAAGGATCAAAAAGGCGCCGCCCAAAAACGGGTGGTGGTTTGTTGTCTTTGGCTTTGAACTGTTACTTCCGCCACCACCACCGCCACCGCCACCGCCACTCGAACTTGACAAAACGAAACTTATATAATGCACTAAGATACATATCAACCGTAACAGTAATGGACGCATCTTTCAAGAGGTTAGGGTTAGATGTTCTAAGTCTAGCCTTCCTCAAGCTTTCCCTTTTCTTTTAAGATACTGTAAGACTACCAAAATGGGGCCAACAATAATCAATCAAGAAGGAAGCTTTCTACATCGAAGCGTGCCACAGTTTTGGCGCAAATAGTACCTTTTGATCCAATCATAAGATGTAGCGTGATAAGTTTGAGTCACATTCTACATTAAACTTGGGGCTTACATTTTACAGGCTGACAAATAAACGAAAGTTTTGCGGGGGGTTTTTTTTCAGTGAATGGAGTAGTCGCTCAATTGTGCTGTTTCGAGGTCTTTATTCAGCACACTCAAATTGCGCTGAAGGGTCAGACAGTAACTAGTGAGCTCTATGCTAATCAAAATTTGCCTTCTGTTTCCAAAATTAGGGGGATACTGCGCCTCACCGCAGGTCAAATGATTTCGGCTTTTTCCGTGGAAACGCCCGCAATACTGCGCCTCACCGCAGGTCCGTTTCGAAAATGCTCGCCGGAAAAGAGTATAATAATAATAAAATTGAACGTTTATTCAGGCAGTCGTTAATAAAACCCTTTGAAAGTTGGCAGAGAAGGCTTAGTTTAAATTTATTATTATTATGCAGTATCATAAAATAAAGCCAAATGACAGGAGCTTATTGAATGTCCCACGTACAGTGGAACCCCGTTATACCGAAGGCACGGGGGAGTCATATATGATTCGTTATAACGAACACTCTCTTTGTAACGAAGTCTAGCCTAAAATCAAGTAATATTCGGTATATCGAGGCTTTCGTAAGCATTATCCTTTTCAATGAACGAAAGACTTTGAGCTCATTCTAAATTATATTCTTTCTTTTCTATCATGGCTTGACAATTATTTAGTACTTTTTAAACTAGTTTTAAAGCGGTTATGGCATCTTTA